AATTTACCTATGAAAAAAATCAGAGAAATTCGTTTGATTTTGGTGGACTTTTAGAAGCGATTTCGGGTAATTATGATGCACCCTGTAAGTCTTGAGGGGGATTTTCCTCTTTCTTTTTTAAAACACTCAATACACCGATTGACTTACGGTTTGTTTTATTGAAAAGAACAACGAATTCTCTTAAAGCATCACGAAAAACACCAAAAGTTCTAGTTTCTGCTAGTTCTGCTAGTTCTAGTTCTAGTTTTGCTCTTGTTCTAGTTGCTCGATCTGGAAAAGCAATGGCTACTGTGACTCGTCAGCTTCCCAACAAGAGAAACTGCGACATTGTCGAAAGACGTGTGGACTCTGCAATCTCACTCCAACCTGCTTGGATCCCAATCCTAATGAGTGATTATCGCCTAATCACAAATCACAAAAAGCTCATTTAGTTGCAACGCGTGGACTGCCAACGATTTTTGTCGGAGTATGTTTTGGACATCGGCGGAAAAGGCTCAATATTGTCCCAGTTCGTGCAATCGGTGCCTATGATAAGAAGAGATTTACGCGTCAATAAAATGTTTTTGAAAGGATTCATCCACACGAAATTATTTTTTTTTTTTTTTTTTTTTTTTTTTTTTTTTTTTTTTTTTTTTTTTTTTTTTTTTTTTTTTTTTTTTTTTTTTTTTTTTTTTTTTTTTTTTTTTTTTTTTTTTTTTTTTTTTTTTTTTTTTTTTTTTTTTTTTTTTTTTTTTTTTTTTTTTTTTTTTTTTTTTTTTTTTTTTTTTTTTTTTTTTTTTTTTTTTTTTTTTTTTTTTTTTTTTTTTTTTTTTTTTTTTTTTTTTTTTTTTTTTTTTTTTTTTTTTTTTTTTTTTTTTTTTTTTTTTTTTTTTTTTTTTTTTTTTTTTTTTTTTTTTTTTTTTTTTTTTTTTTTTTTTTTTTTTTTTTTTTTTTTTTTTTTTTTTTTTTTTTTTTTTTTTTTTTTTTTTTTTTTTTTTTTTTTTTTTTTTTTTTTTTTTTTTTTTTTTTTTTTTTTTTTTTTTTTTTTTTTTAATTTTTTTTTTTTTTTTTTTTTTTTTTTTTTTTTTTTTTTTTTTTTTTTTTTTTTTTTTTTTTTTTTTTTTTTTAATTAAAATTAAAATTTTTTTTTTTTTTTTAACTTCCGTATTTCCCAATCGCTTGCTTCTAAAATCTAACATAAAAATTTTTCTATTGACGTTTTTTTTAAAACTAAAAACATTCAGATTTACAGCTCTCAGTCGATAGATCGATCCACAAAAATGCAAAAAGCTTACGGCACTCAGGATTAAATAAAGTCCCAACCCATTTCACATTTCTTTGTGCATCCCCTAACGGAGACGTGTTCCAAAATTTTTTCGAGACACTGTTGGAAGGTCTCGGGGTTAATGCTAACCTCAAACTTGGGTAATTAAACCGAAGACGGAGACCTCTGTCGCCCTATGTGGACCGGTCGTATGCCAGATGCCACTTTTTCCTACGAGACACACGAAAAGTACACACCGTTGTGTTGTCTCGCGTCTCTGCCAGGGCTGATACTCTCTCGTGTTCGCTGGCGGCCGCCAATTTCATTCGTCAAGTTCGAGAGCGATCGGCAAAAATGCAGAAAGCTTACGGCACTCGGGATTCCCAAGCCGTCTCCGATCCAAGTACTAAACGAGCCCAACGTTGCTTAACTTGGCAGATCGGACGGGATGCCGTGTTTTCAACGTGGTGTGGTCGTAAGCGAGTTTGCAGTGGTGAGAGAGGGCTGAAATAGTCGGCCTCCAGCGAACGCGATACGCAGCCCTCGCAGAGACGCGAGACGACACGACTGTGTGTACTTTTCGTGTTTCTCGTAGCAAAACGGGGCATCTGGCACATGGCTCCTCTGCGTAACGCGACAGAGACCCCAATCTTCGGTTTAATTACCCAAGTTTGAGGTTAGCATTAACCCCGAGACCTTCCAACAGTGTCTCGAAAAAATTTTGGAACGCGTCTCCGCTAGGGGGTGCACAAATAAAGTAAAAAATGTAAAATGAGCGTCGGGTCGGCAAGTTTATGGAGTTGGTACTTGTTAGAGATCAATGCTTTCCCGGCAGCCTTGTAGAAGGAGGATGTAGTTTGTCCAGTAACACCTACTGATCCCTTTTTCCCGCGTTTGGCGCCAAATTTGACAGACAAAAATCGCAATTTTTCAGCCATCAGAACCAATGTTTTTGATTCACCCTCGATTTAATTTTTTTTGCTTTCAAGAAAGAGTTCAAAGTTCATGCTTCTTTAGAAAATGGTGGCAATCGGAAACGAAAATCTCCAAGCGAACGATGCAAACAAACCGAATTTGGAAGTCGAGCAACAGGTAAAGTCGAAAATATAAATATAAATTTTTTGACTTTAGACTTTGACTGTGCGTTTCGCTAAACTCAACGAGAATGCGCACGAACCAACGTATGGCTCAATGTGTGCGGCTGGTGCTGATCTCTACAGCGCTGAGGATTGTGTGATTCCCGCTAAAGGTTTGTTTATTTGAAAATTTGTTACTAGAAGAATTTTTATTTAGGAAAATATTGTGTATCAACGGGGATTCAAGTCGAACTACCTTATGGCTACTATGGACGTGTTGCACCCCGGTCAGGGCTTGCCGCAAAGCATTTCATTGGTAACGATTGTTTTAATAACTTTGACGAATGTCTTCAAATTCTAGATGTGGGCGCAGGAGTGGTTGATTCGGATTATCGAGGGGAATTGAAAGTTCTGCTTTTCAACTTCAGTGACGCTGATTTTGCGGTTAGTTTTTGCAAATTTTTCTATTTTCTCGTGAGAATTTATCTGATATGAGTAGAGAATTGTTGAAAAGGACTAAAATGTTGGGGATTAGAAACAGAGCTTAAGTAACAGTTTTGAAAACGGAATTAGAATTGCCTAACGATCTGATACCAGCATACCATTGTCGAAATGTTTTGTAAAGATCGAAACTTTGCTCTAGTATCCAAAATCCAAAGCCTCATCGATCAACTTATATTAGGTTGGCCCAGTCTTTAGACACTCTTTTCTACTAGCATTTATAAATGGCAAATTCACCAATTCACCTAGAATTTGCTCCATTAGAAAGGCCGACTATTTTTCTACAAAATAACGTTCAAATCTTATGAAAATGTTTTGTCAATGGTTTTTTTATGGAAGCGCGAAGTCGGGTAGTCAAAAAAAAGGCAATTTAGGCGCTTTGGTCAACAGAAATCTATGCTGCTATCAATAGATAAAAGATAAAGAGCAAAAAGTTAGGTATATAGCCGAATTTTCAGGAAAATCTCTTCAGCCAATTTCTTTGTAAAGCTTTTTATCGAATTTTACGAAAAAACGAGTTTTTGTACTTGAATTTGCTTGGAAAACAGACCCAAATCGGCTTGAAATGATAGAAAAATGTATAATAAACATTTTATTTTCTATTTAGAGCCAATTGGTAGATGAATTGGTGAATTTGTGATTTATAAACGCTAGTAGAAAAAACTGTCTAAAGACTTATGGACCAACCTAATAAATTCCCAGCATACCGTAGAACTGCCCTTTTTAGAGCTTTGAGTTTCGTAGTTTTCTTTGACAGCTATTTTGCCAACTACACGGAATACTGTAGTAGTTGTTAATTGGGGACGTGTTTAAAGCGTAGCCGGGCTACACTTTAAAGCATCTACCCAGCTGGATCATATCTCTAATCAAAGCAATCGAAGTTGTAAGTATTGTAGCTAAGACTTCATATGAAAAGTGGTTTAAGATTTTCGCCAATTCATTTGTATGTTTTTAGGTAAAGCAAGGCGACCGTGTTGCTCAATTCATTTGTGAGCGAATTGCTCACGTGAAATACCAAGAAGTCGGCTCTCTGACGAATACGGATCGTGGGGATGCAGGTTTCGGATCGACAGGAAAATAATTTGGCTGTGTAAAATAAACTTCATTTGCAATATTTTCTCAATATCATATCATTGGTGCTTTTTGTAAACAAATTTCACGTTGATTATTCTTCTAAGAAAATGCTTTTTTTTTGCAAAAAACTCATAACAAATAATCTTTTTTTTGTCGCTTATCAAACTAATTTTCTAGCGGATTGGATAAAAGAAGAAGAAAACTGGGCTGACCCTCGACCCTCCCTAAATTTAGTTTTTTTGGCCGAAAAGAATCAAAAACTAGGCTTTAGCGTTCTTGTTCTTGTGACTTTTTTTCGATGATCAAATTGTGGAGATTGACGCGAGTGTTTAAGACGTTTTGGAAGGATTTTCTGGGAAAGTCTAGTAAAAAGATCGATTCTGAAAAGATTAAAGCGTAAATTTGTCAACCTATATGTTAAAAAAGCGATCAGAATCAAAAGTTTTTTTGACAAAATCAAAATGCTCCCCACATTTCCATGGACAATTTATGTTTTATTTTTTTTAGCAAATGTTCTTTGTGTGTGAAAATGACAAAAAAATGACCAATAATTCGATTTGACGCCGACAAAATTCGAATTAAAGAATTCGAGAAAAAGATTAGACAACAAGCTTCCGAATTAAAAGAAAAACCCCCGATCACATTTGATCTTTGATTTGAGCGATTTCATATTCCAATTCTTCACAAAAAAATCGGTTTTCTTTCGAAAAAATGCTTTTTTTCCTAACTCTAAACAAATAATGAACTTATTTCGTTTATCAAACGTTTTTTATTGTCCTTTCATTGGAAAAGTTTACATAAACTGCTGCCAACATCTTTATTGTTAAGTCTTTATTTTTTTTTCGAATTTCTTTGAAAGTTGTTTACATTTCGAGCACTTTTAGATGTTTAATTCTTTAAGCTCAAAAAGTTGAGTACACGTGCTCATTTCCGAGAATGCCATCCCTATAATTTCGGTGTCAGACAGGGCTCACAAATCACAGCGATTCGAATCTGATGCCAAAGTTGAACAGAAAAAAAACGTATAATTGTTGCTTTCAATGCTTCTTAAACAGTAATCTTTGATTTATAAATTTTCATTTCAAATTCTCCAATAAAAGCTTTAGATGTTCTGGCTGATATGGCACGATTTGTTGGTTGTTCTCTTGATCACCGTCGTGCTTTCAGGTTGGGGGAAACAACTGAGAATAGCGGGATCTTGAGAATAAACGATGCTCAACGCTCAACGAGGCTAACCATATGTTTCTAGAAGTATTATTTTTGAGAGAACAATCCGTTAAAACAAGTTTTGGTGTTTAGTTTATGGGTGAAAGCTGAGAACCATAAAGCGAACAATACTTTAGTTTATCGTTAAAGCCTTTACAAATCCTCGTTAATCATGTCTACTTGAAAGTTTTGGGAAACTTGTCGAACTTTCAGGGATTTACATTCCCATTTACGCAATCTACAAAACAAGCTGGACAATCGGTGTCTACTCGTTCTTGCTCGATGCACCGACACTCCCCGATGTTGACTATGATTTCGTCGAACAGTCCAGTTTCGTTTTGTCGTCGATGAGCGATTGGGTGAGTGATTGAAAGAATCGATCAGAGATTTCGATTAAAGTTAAATGCAAATTGAATGTCAAGAGTGATTTGTCTTATCGCAAAAGAGCCTCATATTTTCGCCTCGACAAAAGCCCTGTACTTTCCCCAACTCTTTTTCTTTTGTTTCCCCACCGATCTGAACCCATTTTCAGTCCTATGCCAGCAGCATTCCCACAACCATTTTGGCCGCTTTTTTCGCCGCTACAAATGATCAACTAACCCTGCCAATACGGTATTTTCATCGAAAAATCATTTATCGTAAACTTTAGTCTACTTGCCACCGCCGAGAATTTGACAAAACTCGCCTACTCTGTCACGTGGCTTTTGTCTCGGGCTTGCGTGATTTCACTCGCCAATTTACAGTTTGTTTATTCTCAAATATTAGGTACTTGCAAAAGAAACTGCGGATTATAACCAACATTACTCATCGACTGATAAAGATAAATCAGTTTTGGGTTCCCGAAAATGGAATCCATTTATCGATTGTTCTTTCTGCAAATTCTATTTCTTGTGTTTCAACCTTACATCGTCGTCGCGCAGGTTGGATCTTGGGTAGAGTGTGCTCCTTGTTGACAGACAATTTGTTAGACAAATTTGCCTTGATAACTTTTTTGTCAGACAATTGATCCGACAAACTTCCGACAACGCGTTTTCTAAAAGGTGCGCTTTTTAAGCAAAGCTATCAAGGCCGCGCAAAAAAATGTGCAAAATTTTCTTAAAATGTAGTAATGGATAGTTTTATTTAAGGATTTAGGTTTTTTAGGGCGTGGAATTTGTTTTTGAATAGTTCTAGTGCAAATGTAGACAATGGGCCTGGTAAATTCATAAATAATATAAATTTTTTTCCTCTCCCCCCCAAGGTTCTTGGGGTGGGGGAGGGGCATGAGGGCACTTATGAGTAACGGTCTTCATACTCCTATCCGAGCGGCAGAGGAAATCAGCTGAGCAGCAGGGGTTTCCGATTGTGGTGTGATAGTATTTGGTACTTGCAAAAGAAACTGCGGATTACTTTCGAGGACGAAAGCTTTTTTTTATTTGAAAGTGTGATGGTCCGGTTTAAATTGTATTATATTGTATTATGATTGCTTATTCATTTTAATTATTTTCACAACTATTGCTATCATTAAATATTACATAATCTTAGGTACAAGATGACGGATGAAAAACTCATGTTGCGTGCGGGCGTGTCTTCTCTATGACTTCAAAATGAAGAAATCAGTATCGAAGTCGCACCGAAATCATTGCGAAGCATTTGGAGAAAACATTTTGAGCGAAAGGACTTGCCAGGAATGGTTTCGACATTTTCGTTAAGGGGATGAGAGCTTGGACGCTGAGCCTCATGGATATCGTTCAGTTGGCCTCGATGATGCGGAGTTGCTGGAGATTGTCGAGTTGGACCCAACTCAAACTTTGCCCGAATTAGCCGAATACTTTAAATGTGATCCGAGCACAATTTTTCAACACCTTTCGCTCATTGGAAAAAGGAATCGTTGTGGCCAATGGGTCCCACAGGAATACTCCCTGAAAATAAAGCTAATCGAGTTTTATTGTCTCGGATTCTATTGAAAAAGGCTACTGGCAGTGCTTTTTTTGAAAGCATGTTAATGATGGACGAAAAGTGGACATATTTCAATAATACAACACGCAAAAAAAATCATTGAGCAAAGGAGAAAGGCAGATTCCGATACCACATCCAGAACTTCACGAAAAGAAAGTTATGCTCTTGGCCTTTTGGAATATGAAAGGAAACGTTTATTTTAAATTACGAAAATCTTCAAAAACTATAACTTTTCAAATCTTCGCCAAACAGCTGAAGAAAGTTGATGAAATTCTACGAGAAAGAGGTGTTAATCCAAGGACAATCCATTTGCTCGCTCACAATGCCCGGGTACACACATCAAACTTGACTCAAAACACCCTAGAAGAATTAGGCTGGAAACTTGTGCCTCATCCGCCATATTCGCCTGATATTGCCCCCTCAGACCACCAATTGTTCCGGTCTATGCAACACTCTCTTGCAAATCAAAAGTTTAACAATCCTAAAGAGGTCAAAATTTGGGTGCAAGACTACTTTGCATGGCGGGACCCCGAGTTTTTCAAATCAGACATCCGAAGTCTACGCAAAAAATGAAAGAACATAGTTGCTAATAATAGTGAATATCTTTTGGAATAAAGTTATTTTCTTATTGATTTTTGGGTCGTTCAAATGTTCCGAATCCGAATGTTCCGCAGTTTCTTTTGCAAGTACCTAATATTTTCAGATGTTCACAAGAGGTGTACAGTGCTTTCATGAATCTCTACGACTTTTCGGCTTTTTTCGATTTGACCAGCGTCGCCCAGTACTGTCAAATGCTCATCTCGTTGAGGTTCGTTAAGGATTTCTTTGAAATTAAAAAAAACAATTCTCGTTACTTCAACATCAACAACTACAAACAGCATAAATAACCCGTAATCCCCTTCCATTTCCAGTCGTTTTCTCGCTCTATCCAATGACGGGATCTATTTTCGATACACCCTTAAATTCCCGCTTCTTCAGCTTCTTTTTCCATTTCTTTTTGGTGCTCTCATCGCATATTTCATTCTATTCGTTCAAACGGTTTTCGAATTTTATGCAATCGCCGACTACGTGGCTATTCCACTGTTTCTGATGTGCGGTCTGGATTTTATGACGAATTGGAATATGAGGAGAAGGGTTGGTGCAAATGAACCAAGAGAAGGATTTGTGAATAGAAATTGATCAAAAACTAGATCGAGTTTTTAAAGAGACTAATAATATAAAAATTGCCATGATAACTTGGCAATTAAATCCAATTTATGTAGTAAAATCAATAATCTTTTAAATTAGACATGAGCTCACCAATTTACCAACCAAATTCAGTCGGCTTCGGACCAATTCGGACTGGACTGGACCAGGCTGGATTGCGTTACATGTCTAGTAGTACTAGATGTGTAAATATTGGTGAACTTGACATTTAGCCAAAGCCAATCATCGAGCATATCGAGCCCCGAGTTGACAATCTCCATCCACTAATTTTACGATATTATTAGGCTGTCCAGAAAGTCTTTTGGTTCCTTTTCCTATTAGATTGGTAAGAAACTTTCTTACCAACTTTTCCCTCCACCCAATTCTTTTAACCCAAGCAGCTACGAAACTTTTGTATGGTTAAAATTAAAGATCAATATCTTGAACTACAAAACAGCGGCACAACTTTTTATTTTGGGAAGTTTTGATGGAAGAAATGATTGAGCTTCAGTACCAAGTTACCAAATTCGATTTTTTTTGAATTGGAATTTATCAAAACACATGTATTTCTTCAAAATTTTAAGTGAATTTTTATGATTAAGCTTATTGTATTTTGCAAATAATTTCAAGTCTAAAGGCCTTTTATTTCTTTTGGAATCAGTTTTTGATTGAAAACACTTACAAAAATTGACTTTCTTTGAAATAAATTTTTGCTACTCCAGATAACCTTGATTCAAAGGCTGATTATTACATAAATTTTAAACTTTTTATGAGAAAAAGAGTCATAAAAGAGCGTTTTGATATCTGATAGTTCAGTTTAGAGATTCTGAAAAATCGGGAAAAGTCTTGTTTACCAACTTAGTATTTCCTTTTGAAAAATAACAAATTCACGAGTTAGCCTATGGTTTGCTCTAAATAAAAAGTGCTTATTGTTCAATTTCCCATATTTCTTAAGTCAATTTCGGTTCACTTTCAAGCAAACTCGAGAGTGATAAAGATAAATGATTCAAAGGCTGATTATTACATAACTTTTAAACTTTTTATGTCTATAGAAACCTCTACGAAGAAATTTTTCGTTAAAAAAACCTATAAAAACCTCTACGAAGAAGTTGGCCGAATGAATTTCTCTGAAAATTTGCCTATGTATCAAACTTTTTGTGCTCTACACAACACAAAAATAGGTTTACACGAAATTGACATTTTACACGAAAAAACACGACATTGACACAAAAATAGGTTTACTTGGCTAAAGTGTCTAAAGCGCATCATCGAGCCGTCGCCCTTTTTTTGACTGCCCGACTTCACGCTCCCAAAAAAATCCAGACACGAAGAAATTTTAAATCCGTTTTAATGGTTATTTTACAGAAAAATAATTGGCCTTTCTAATGAAATAAACCGTAGTTCAATTGAAGCTTTTGTCGGTTTTAAACGAAAGTACGAAAACAAAGGGAAAAACTTTCTGGACAGCCTAATAAATGCTTTCTAGCGTGTCGAAGTGGTTCTAAAGCTTACGCTTACGATTCTAATGATAAGTATCGGCATATAACCTACTCGATACTTTGATAAAAAAAGGTTCATTGTTCAATTTCCATCTTTTTAGGTGAATTTTGGTTCACTTACAAGCAAATTCGAGAGTGAAAACAGTGTTTTTCGTAAAAATCTATAAAAACCTCTACGAAGGCTGAATGAATTTCTATGAAAATTTGGTTATATACCAAATTCTTTGTGTTCTACCTTTTACCTATTGACACAAAAATAGGTTTACTTAGCTAAAGTGTCTAAAGCGCATCATCGAGCCGTCGCCCTTTTTTTGCCTGCCCGACTTCACGCTCCCAAAAAAATCCAGACACGAAGAAATTTTAAATCCGTTTTAATGGTTATTTTACAGAAAAATAATTGGCCTTTCTAATGAAATAAACCGTAGTTCAATTAGTGCATTGGTTGGCTTTAAACAGAAGTAAGAAAGGGAACGAAAAGACTTTCTGGACAGCCTAATACCATGATAATTTGTCAATCAAATCCAATTTCAGTCACAAAAAGGCGACAAGACTTCGCGTGTTGAAGCGCTGTTGATGATACAGGCGAGAGAAATGTTTTTGGGTAGCTTAGAATAAATCGTGATTCAGATGATCGCCAATTGTGTCGTCAACCTGGCCACCACGATCATTTCTGATGGTCTCATCGATATTTTTCATTTATTCTACGGCGCAAACATACTCTCATTTATTCAACAAATACTCGAGTTTACGCGAATATTTCTGTTTTTCTTTGTAAATAGGTAAATGAAAAATGAAAAATGAAAATCCAATGTTCAGCCTCATCTCAATGTACTGTTTTCGGAGTCCAAAACGGCGACTCCGAGCGAAATCGATCGTTGTCTCTTCGTTTTCTCGATAAACATTTTCAAAAATTTCAAAAAAGAGCTTACTTATCACAAATTGCATCAAAATTCAACGTAAAGTGAAAGTTCTCAAAAAAAAAAACGCGATCATTTATGATTTTGTGGAAACTAATTGGGCTTTGAAGTTTTAAAACGCGAATTTGTGAAATCCCGGGAGAGAAAGAGATTAAAATGATTAAAAAATAGTGCTCATTTCAAAGGAATTCATTCATTGAAACGCCCAAAAATGTCAACGAATCAAAAATATATTGACTTTTATGGAAAGGAGTATTTATATGTGGCTGGCCCAAGTTTTGATGGACTTGTTTGCGAGGATCGTGTCGGTATTTCAAAGAGTTTGTTGAAAGAAATAGAATTTCATTTTTTTTTGTTTATTTTACTTAGTACAAAATACATACCATAAATACTGTAATAGTACCCCACTTCCCTCGTACAGTCGCATAGTCGCAAAGGTTTTTTAGTATTTCATTTTTTTCAAAGCGCCCGTACTTTCAAAAAATACGTCTTTTGTATCAAAAAATAGCTGAAATTCAGGGCTATTTTTTGATACCTAAGCGAGCATTGTAGCATAAATCAGTGTCGAGAAAAACTCGTTCAAAGCTATACTACGCAACACTTCGCTCGCTTCGTCATTATCGCGCGAGAGAAGCCTTTTAAGCGAGATATTGCAAACTTCTATGCCAGATATCGGGCGAGCGTATGGGCAGCTGATTTTTGCACCATTTTGATCAGCCTAGTCAATTCTACAACTTCTATTTTGGCATTGGGCAATCGGCGCATTGTAGCATAAACAAGTGTCGAGAAAAACTTGTTCAAAGCTAGACTACGCAACACTCCGCACCGTCATTATGGGGGTGGGGTACTATTACAGTATTAACAGTAGGTGTAACCGTAGCAAGCCCCATAGACAGGAGTTAGAAAAAGAAACTTTTTCAAATGACTTCATCCCCTCCAATACCAACGTTTTTCAGGTTTTTTAAGCTATATTGAAAGCATTGAAAGTTTTAAATGCAAAAACAAAAACAAATTTTGTTTATTTATTGTATCAGATTTAAATTCTTACAGCCATTTACCCTCTTATGGGCGGACGAGTCAAGTGATGCAGCCTATCAATGGAACGGGTTGCCGATTCGGTTGAATTCGACGAGAAGCGACTCGTTGAGTCGATCGGTCATCATTTCATATTTCTCGGTCACTTTTCCAAAACACTCAACACAAAAAAAGCTATCATAGTTACAAATAACTAATTTTGTAGCTAGGTAAAGATATTGATCGGAAATAGACATTAGCAGCGGGTCAGGTCGGGTCGGGTCAAAAGTGACCCGCTGACCCGACCCGCGACCCGGCTTTTTTCCCGGATGACCTGCTGACCCGACCCGGGAAAAATTTTGAGCTTGACCCGACCCGCTGACCCGACTCGGCCGCCAAAACTCGAAAATGGACATGTCTAATCGGAAAGTCTTGTTCGCTTTTTTAAGGATTACTTTTTGAAATCAACCAATCGATCTATGGTTTTTTTATATCAAAAAGTCCTATTATTTATTTACAAATTGCTCTTTAAAATTCTAAAAAGCTCGCCTTAATTCATTTTTTTACAAGACAAAAAGATAATTCGTGTTAATCGTCTTGTTGAGCCCTCCTTTTTTTTCAGCTCAGCCTCTTCGGTGTTATTTTGAGCTCTCTGTGTGCCCACGTTGTCTACCAAAAGATCGCCCTCACAAAAAGTGTGAAATTCATTCTTCTCATCGACAATTTGTGTCGTTTCATCGAATCACTCCTCTATTTTTACTATGGTCTCTGTGTTTGGGGGTAAATTTAGAGAATTTACTCTTTAAGAGCAAAAATCTCTTGTTTTCCCAGATGGCAATGTGTTGACACGACGGGCTTCTTGCCGGGTATTTGGCTGAATCGTCTTCTCTCCTCGTTCCAAATCGGTCTCCTCTACTCGATGCAGCTCTTTCTTCATTGCTTATCCATTTCACGGTCTCTTTTTTCATTTTCTACAACAATATCCCCAAATTTCAGCCTCCTCGCCATCCTTTTCAGCGAGATTTTTCACAGAAAATCCGAAATGCTCTTGATTTTCTACACGATTTTCTGCTTTCTTGTACCAAATGTTAACTATTTTCTAGGAATCGGTGATTGTGAGTGATGTTTTTGAAAGATTCTTTAAGTGGAAAAGATTTTATAAACAAGAATTTTCAATTGCTCTTCAGTACAATCGCCGAATGGATCAATCTGCTATGCGGGTCCATTCATGTCACCGAGCGAGTTCCGTCTCCGTGCCTGGTACATAACCAGTTCGATTTTCGACTTCAATAGCTCAACTTTCGATTTTGTCATGTTCGGATTTATCGTGGTGGCTCTGTCCATCGACATCATCACAATTATTGCTATTCGAAGAAAGGTTTGAAGTGAATTAAAAGAAGAAAAGAATTCATTCATTGACTCATAAAACACTCCAAAAAACTAACTTGAGTCTGAGCTGCCTTTTCATATAATCTTTTATGTTTACTATTGTTTACTTTACTTTACTTACTTTTATGTTTACTATATGCTTACTATTGGGTTGGTGAGTTGAAAGCTGGGGACTTTGAACTCAAATTTATTCAACATAAAACCATCAATTCATTCGAAATAATTTCCATTATTATTGACGACTTCTGCCCATTTTACAGGCAATTTGCGGATTCCTCTTTCGTAGTAGGATTTTGGTTTGTGTGTGAGACAAGTGGGAGACAAGTGTGAGACTCAAAAATGGAGGACTGGAGATGTCAGCTGTCAGCCCAGTTTGAGCACTTTCTTCAAAAGAAACCCATTTTGGTGTCAATAAAAAATTTGTAGAGAATCAAAAATTAGGCTTATAGCCAAATTTCCAAAAAGA